TGTCGGGCGCGGGGCAGCCCCGGCCGCCCCTCATGGGGGCCGCCCGCAGCCGGCACCTCGCCTTGTAAGCTCTGTACAGCACTGCAGAAAACTTCCCGAGAGAACAAATAGTGGCATATTTATAGGAGAGTTTGAATAATAGTTGCACATTGAATGATGGAAAAACCAATTAAATGTTGAGTAATTAGTGAATTTGGTGTTATTCCTATTGTATGGCACAAGGCCTGTGTAGAAAGGGTACTTACTTGTGTGACCAAATAGTTAAAACTATCTTAATGAAGAACTAGAGAGGACTAAAGTAAGGTTGTTTTGTAATGGTTTTCATTCTGATGTTGCCCAACTTGTCTTTGTACTCAAACTAGTCTTTTAGCATACTGTGGTATTTCACCTGTCTGTCTGTGATCTGTGTCTGTACTGGCACCTAGCACACTTACTGAAACATTTAAATATGCTTCAAGAGTAGTCTGATGTATTTGCTGTGCTGAATAACTTGAATATTTTAATTGAGAGTTTAAAATCTGTCACAATGTGACAAATAGCCCAAGTGGTGGGTTGATGATTTAAATATATGGTTGTATTTATATAATTTCTTAGTATATTATATTTAACACACTTTTACTTGTTGCGTTCTTGTCTGTTTCCCTCCTGCTGGCTCTTAAAACAGGAGAAATAACATCAGGCACCAGGAGAGAACAATGGAATAAATATTAGCGGGTTTATGACTCTTCTCCCTTCTCGTTCTGCTCTTTTTATGTTAATCTATGTTTATGGAGTGTTTTCAGGAAAAACGTTTTGTAAGAGTTGTTTCAGAAGTGTCCGATTTGTTTGGCAGATAGACTGTTGGATCAAACAGATCCCTGTAGGCTTTGAGGAAGAGACCTAGTTGTCTTGGCAAACAAGAAAGTGTTTGAAGCACAGGGAAAAATACAGACCTTGCTGCTCATGGCCCTTTCTGCTAGGCTTTGGCAATGCTAGACTCAAGCCTCTACACCCAGAGTCTATACATTCTTTCTTATGCAAGCTGCTGAACAGTGATCAGATAGGATTTAAGGTAGTACTGCTATTAGTCTGGAAACTGGAGGGTGAAGGGCTCCACGTAACCTATTACTGATCCCTGGGCTTTCTGCATGTTCCTCCTTGTTTCTGCCCTTCAGGCACAATGGTTGGTGATCACACCCGCTTGGAGTTCCACAACATCGAGACAGGGATCATGACGGAGAAACGGTACATCTCTGTCATCCCCTCCAGCTTCATTGGCCACCTCCAGAGCCTCATGTTCAACGGGATGCTCTACATTGACCTATGCAAGAATGGTGACATTGACTACTGTGAGCTGAAGGCACGCTTTGGCCTCCGCAACATTATCGCTGACCCTGTGACGTTCAAGACCAAGAGCAGCTACCTGAGCTTGGCCACCTTGCAGGCTTATACATCCATGCACCTCTTCTTTCAGTTCAAGACCACCTCAGCTGATGGTTTCATCCTCTTTAACAGTGGTGATGGCAATGACTTTATTGCAGTTGAACTAGTCAAGGGGTAAATGACTTTCTGCTATGTTCTACCAGTTTATTTATAGATAAACTTACTTATAGGTAACCTCAAAATACTTGCATGAAAAGAAATTCACATCGTACTCATATTTTCTGTTTACTGAGATGCATGAGAAAACACTTGGACATAAACAACAAAGCTTAAGATTCCTGATTTTGTCACTGACTTCCTTCCCCTTGTGGCTGAGGGGACGACACTTTTAGAGTGCGGAACAACGTTTTAAGTCTTTTGGACCTAGTTAGGCTAGCATTTTGTCCTGTTAACCTTGCAGAATAGCATAGAGGAGGAGGAAATGTGCTGAGGGCTCTTGAGCCTCTCTTCCTCCTTTTATTTATTTATTTATTTTCATCTAACAGCCTCGTTGTTTCTGCCATCTCCATTGAAGTGAAAAAGCATATGAGCTCATGAATTTGTATGTCTGCTGGTGATATTTGAGGAAAAGCTTCTTGAAGCAAGAACTTGTCTTGCTTTCGAGCCACTGTATTCTTTTTGCAAGACTGATAGCTTATTAAAAAAGAAGTCCTTTGTTAGCGGAACAAATTTTGATATCTCTGTAGTCATCTAGTCACGGTAGATCTGTTTTCCACAAATACAGTTTACTAGTCCTGTTTATTTCAGTATAACTATAGTTCTATCTGTTTCATTTTTAACTTTGCACATGTTCCTGTGAGTGGGATGTTGAGTAACAAAAAAAGCAAGAGTCACGAGATCCTGGTGCTCTGAGAGTTGGATTTTGTTAGCTTTTTTCTTTTTTTTTCCCTTTCCTTTTCTAAGTAGAATATTTTTCTTCTATCCTCAGGTGGGTTTCTGTGTTTGAATTGTATAAATAATTCAGGGTAACATTCCCATGACTTCAGTCTTTATTGGGGTCTTTATTTTTTTGCTGAAGGCTTCACTAATTGTTTTCTGGCTGTTTGAATAAGCCTAGGATATCATGTGAATTTTAGTACAGTATTTTGAGTGACTTTCCCGATTAACTTAAGGAAGTTATTCAAAACTCAGAATGATTCTGAGGAATATATGCTCCAAATAAGCATATCTAGTGGTGTTCTCCAGTACATTTATCAATATTACCAATTTAAAAAAAATAATTAAATGCACAGACAGGGATTTTGTGGATCTATGAGAACTTCGTGAAAAAGAAGAATGCTTTATGGTTAGAATCGGATTACTCCAAATGTTGTCATCTCAAAATACTAATCCTTATGTTTTCTTGGTCAAAAGGAAACAATTATATCTTTTCAAATCAGCAGCTGATATTTTGGCTTACTAACCTTTCTAACCCGGAGACTTTCGATAACTTTCTGTTCCCATTGTGACTTTTGTAAATTAATTCATCAGCTCTGCCTAGAATAAGGGTCAGTAGTGCTGAAGTTCTTACATCATTTTTAACTAGTTCTTGCTATGTTTACAGGTATATACACTATGTGTTTGACCTTGGAAATGGACCTAATGTTATCAAAGGCAACAGTGATCGTCCTCTTAATGACAACCAATGGCACAATGTCGTCATCACCAGAGATAACAGTAACACACACAGCCTAAAGGTGGACACCAAGGTGGTCACTCAGGTTATCAATGGTGCCAAAAATCTGGATCTTAAAGGTGAGTTTTACAAGACTCACAGTTTCCCCCTTTATTCTTGCATGGCTTAACCAGCAAACAAAAGAAAGCTTGCAGGAACCATGCATTACAGAACAGTAGATCTGGAATTTGCTGATTTTGGCTTTCAATTTCATTTTTCTCTTTCTCTATTTAGCAACTTCCTGTAACAGTATAGTTTGCCACATTTTGCCTTTTCAGAAGCTGCATCCTAACTAGGAAGAACTGCAGGATGACAATCGGTTACAACTGTGTGTTGGTTTTTTTATGGGTTTTGTTTGTGTTTTGGTTTTGTGGTGTTGAATTTGGGCATTTTTTGGTAGTAAAGACGGCAGAAATGACTTTTTGCACAATATCTTGCTCTGCTTTTAACTTTTTCTAAGAAGCTGTTCAGCTTGCTATATTCCAAGTCGGGAGGGGGGAAAAAACCACTCTAGAAGGTATGTAACTTCCTCCTCCTTGTATGTTTGCTGCTTTATCCTCTAGGGGATCTCTACATTGCTGGCCTAGCTCAAGGCATGTACAGCAACCTTCCGAAGCTAGTGGCCTCACGTGATGGATTTCAGGGCTGTCTAGCATCCGTGGACTTGAATGGGCGTCTGCCTGATCTAATCAATGACGCTCTGCACCGCAGTGGGCAGATTGAGCGCGGATGTGAAGGTATAATTCATTTCAGAGAAGTTCCCCTCTCAAGCACTCCCCTCTGACTTCATTGCTGCCCCCTGTGCATCTGCTTGTCCGCCTTACTGTCCATTTAATTAGTGTGCTTTCATTGTGACATCCTTCACTACACTTACATGTTTTCCATATGCTCCCAAAGGCAGTTTAAGGATGGCTAGCTTATGCGAGTGGTTTAGCAGCTGTTCTCTTGCATTACCCCATTCCCTATGAGGTGGTACCTCCAGTAGTGGAAAGGATGGTACTGGGATGGACTACTATTTGCTAGTACTTTTCTCAGAGTGGTTTATTAACATTACAGTACTCTTAAAATACTTTCAAAGAGGTTCTGAGCCTTCAGTTCACTTGTGCTTCAGAACGCCATTTTTTGGGATCTGTAGAAGTATGTATTTTGAAGCCCAAGGTAGAGGCAGGGGAAATGGAAGGTAGAAGAACTGAAGGGTGAAGATCAGACCAAAACAGAAGTTGCTTTTTGTGGAGGTGGGCCTCCAGTGAAAGCCCTGCTGTCTGGAAAACCTTTCTTTTCTGTAGTTTCTCTTTCTTGAGTGGTTTCTTTTTTTTTTTTTTTTTTTTTTTTTTTTTTTTTTTTTTTTTTGGGGGGGGTGTGTTGGGTTTTTTTTGTTGTTTCTTTTTTAGTGAGTTTTTGAAGCATGTAAGTAGTAGTGAATTCTTGAAGCTTCTTTAAGTAATTTACTGCCCCTTCTAAACTCTTGTTAATTGAAAGAATATTGATAGCAGCAGCACTGACACAGTAATGTGCATGTGGCATCAATTCCCAAAGCACTTGGGATACTTACATCAAAAAAATACAAGATATTGCTGGCTGGGTTAAGTGAAAATCACCATTATGTTTAGTTCTGCTGCATGCTAGTCTGCTATGTTGGCTACCAGTCAGCAGAGGAAGGTTTATCAGTAAAGTTGTCTGGCATGCATGTTTGCTAGGAAGGTGTATATCCCAAACTGATCCTTCAAGACAGGACTTTACAAGGTGAAATTACTCCCTGATCGTATTTCCCTACGATGTCAGGATTGCAGCATACATCATGTTGAAGCCTTGCCCCACTTGTCAAGACTTGTCCCTTCTTAGGACTGAAAGTATCATCTTAGTGGTGTCTTTTGAGTATTTATGAAACACTAAATTGGCAGTCCAAGCAAATCTGATCCCTTCATTGTCTCCCAGTGTTCTGGCTGGCTTGGAGCTTCTGTTCCTTAGCCCTCCTTCCACACTCCCACAACAATACTCTGGTTTGTGAGAATTTTGTGTCCTGTCGTAGGAGCTCATTCAATGTCAACTCCAGTTTCACGGCATTGTTAAGTGCTGCACAGCTGTAGGCTGTTCTTTTTTCTGTTGTCCTGCTGTATTTAAATAATGTCTATTAACCATGTTTGTTCCTGTGGAAATAAACACAGTGTAGCAGAACTTGTGGCTTTGCCCATTTGTGGTAGAGCGAAAATGCCAAAAGAACTGCGTGTTTTCTGTGTTGCTGTTTACAAGGTTCAAGGAAAAAATGCATTTGGGTTTTTTTGAAATTGTCTTTTCTGATTATCCTCAGTGCACTGAAAGCTGCTCTTTAATATTAGTGATTTCTGGTTGTTCTATTTAAAATTAGCTTAATCTGTTGGCTATATAGGCTGCATGTTATGTCTACTAGCTCTTTCTCCTTCAGAGGACCTCTCAAACTAACCTGTTGTTCTGTGTGTGGCTCAGGAACAGTCACGATGCTTTCACAGAATCACAGAACAGTAGGGGTTGGAAGGGACCTCTGGAGATCATCTAGTCCAACCCCCCTGCTAAAGCAGCTTCACCTAAAGCAGGTTGAACAGGATTGTGTTGCAGGGGGGGTTTGAATATCTCCAGGGAAGGAGACTCCACAACTTCCCTGGGCAGCCTGTTCCAGTGCTCTGTCACCCTCAAGGTAGAGAAGTTTTTCCTCACGTTCAGGTGGAGCTTTCTGTGCTCCAGTTTCTGCCTGTTGCTCCTTGTCCTGTCACTGGGCACCACTGAAAAGAGCCTGGCCCCATCCTCTTAACTCCCGCCCTTTAGATATTTATAAGCATTGATGAGATTCCCTGTGTCTTCTCCAGGCTAAATAGCCCCAGGTCTCTCAGCCTTTCCTCATAAGAGAGATGCTCCAGTCCCCTAATCATCTTTGTAGCCCTCTGCTGGACTGTCTCCAGTAGCTGCCTGTCCTTCTTGAACTGGGGAGCTCAGAACTGGATACAGCACTCCAGAGGTGGCCTCACTAAGGCAGAGTAGAAGGGGAGGAGACCTGCTGTCCACACTCTTCTTAATGCACCCCAGGATACCATTGGCCTTCTTGGCCCCAAGGGCACGTTGCTGGCTCATGGCCGACTTGTCTGCCAGGACTCCCAGGTCCTTCTCCGCAGAGCTGCTCTCCAGCAGGTCGACCCGCAGCCTGTACTGGTGCATGGGGTTATTCCTCCCCAGGTTCAGGACCCTACACTTGCCCTTTCCTGGAAGGCTGCACCATTATTAGATCGATGGTGTTTCCTTTTCTTGTACCCAGTGTAGTTCTTTGATTTGTGTTCTATTGCTGAGGTTGTATAATGTCAGCGCCACTCCCAAAACATGTAATGCGCCGCTTACTTTGTCTGTGTGCCAGTCTGGTACCAGCCTGGCTGCTTCCTGGTTGTGGAGATTGGTTCGCTCTTAGAAATATAAAGAATGTGAGTTCACCTTCTTTTCTAAAGCTCTTCAAACAAGATTCGAAGTTGGAAAGAGCTAAAAAACTGTATGGGAATGTCAATGATGGCCCTCATTCTGCCTTTGGCAGAACTTAATCTTGCAAAGCAGCGTTCATGCTATCTTCATAAATTGTCCCTGCTCAGTACCAAGGGAACTGTTGAAGAGGAATCCATTATTTTTTTTTTTTTTTTTTTTTGCCAACATGTTTAGGATTAGTAAAAAACCTGAGGATTAGGTCACCAGAAAGCAGTTTCATTTGTTTTTTGAATCACAGCAATCCTCAAGGCTTCATCTCACCTCTTGACTGCTGCCTGCTGCTGCCTGTTCTTATGTTTGCCACCGAGTGTCACACCTATCTCCCCTTTCTCTAAGGAAAGAAAAACTCTAAGTGTGTTTGGTCCTTATTTAAGTCTCCTTATTTTGTTTCCATCTGAAGTGATCTTCAGTGCAGCCTTAACAAGATTTTTAAGGGCTGGAGTCCCAAGCAGTTCTTACTGTCTCATGATGTTTAAATGTGTATATAAAAAAACCAATTGCAGTCTTTTGAGGTGAATAGTTGTGCTGTGTGTTTATTTGCAGGACATGTCCGTATTTCATTGTGAAAGGCGGTGGGACCACATACGTGATGAGAACATGCATGCTTAAAGAAATGTCATTCCACCTCCACATATGAATCTTGCATTCCAAATGTGGTGGGAGAGATCTCTGCTAATGCTTGTCTCTTGTTGCGGCTTTGCTTTCAGAAGCAGAGGAGATTACAAGGTGACAGCTGTTTTCCCTGAAACTGTCTGTTTGATCTCAGGACATAATCAAAGGATGTGTGGAGGAGGGAAGCCTGGTGACTAGTAGAATGTGAGATGTAGGTCAGCAAACAGCACCGTCACACCTAAAACAGACCAGTACCACTACAAATGGGTGACATTGCTGCATCCTATTTGCATTTGTTATCTCTATTTATGTATTTCAGTACCCTATTCCATACCACCAATTAAGATTCACAAGTTTTAATAGGAAAATAATATTCTTTATTGTCTTGGTTCTACTGCGACCACCTTTATTCAGTTTGAGCAAACCATTGAACTTCCTTGGACACATTGTTCCTCGTACGTGCTCAAGCATAATTCAGCCTTGCTGTGTACCAAAGCACAAACTTGCCACGTTATACAATTAGCTGTGTTCCAGTGATGGGTAAGGCAGTGCTCCTGTTTGAACAGGAGCAGGAAGCGCTTTCAGTATAAATTATATTTATGTGAGAGCTTTTTCTTTATGACCTGGACAATCCCAAAGCATTCTTAGGCTGTATGTAGGAGTTATTAACTGAAACGGGCGTCTTTGAGGCTGAAAGTGGCTGGTGTTTAATAGTGTGTAGTAGTGCTAAAAACAAGGCAGTTCAAGACCTAAGGCAAGAATTACTTTATCCCTAATTGACTATCAGTTTTATCCCTCTATTTTTTTTTAATTATCTTTTTTGTTTAGGATAACACTGCTAAGTAACCTCTTCATCCTGTTTGTTAGCTGAACTGTTGGCTTCCTTTTGCATTATGCAGCTTTCTTGTATGCTGTACAAACTTAAGATTTCGGATTTTGAAGTCTGCTGCTCAGTCACCAGTGTGCTGGATAAGATGATAGCTGCCACACTGACCTTGATGTGTCTTGTAGAACCATTGCTTTTGGCAAAGAGTTTTGTGGGTGATTATCTGGAAGAAAAGAACCCAAAGTGTCTGGAATGTTAAATGAGCCCATGGGGTTAAAGCTCCACACCACTCACCCCTTCTTGTTTGGGTGTGATAGTCTGGTTTATTTTTATGGCTCTTTTGCAATTTCTACGTTTCTGATTTTTTGGGAACAGGCAGCTCTTCACTGATCTTGAAGGTCTGGCCAGATCTGTAGTGGCAGCTTGTGTTTCCCTGGAAGGTATTCTGCAAAGGCAGAAGCCTCCTTGCTGCCTGGTGTGTAAAATCTGTTCTGGATAGATGTGCTACACACAACTGTGAGAAGAATGAAGTTTCAGGATAATGACATTATACCAATATATTTATTCATTTCCCACAAAAGTATCTTTAGTTCTCATGCTAACTGCAGCTTTCATCACCATCTTTTGTTTATCAAGAGGCACCTTCCCCCTGTCACCACCCAAAAAGAGGGTCCGAGAGAAAACGTACAAAAGGTAGGGAAGTGGTTAAGACTTCAATGGTCCTTGTGTCAGCATCAGGTGAGGCTATTGAACACTCTGAAGAGACAAAGTCAGTTTCAGAAAGGACTTCATGTTGGGGGC